CGATCTGCTCTCTGAACTTTAGAAGTGTCCGATGGTTCAGCCCGCGGAGCCACCAGGCCGGCCATGCAGAACTCCGCCCATTTACATCTCTTATTCAGCCTAAAATCAAGTCATAGTTCCGAGACCAGGCGGTTCCTCCTCTTTGCTCTCTTTTCAAACGTTAAGGCTAAGGAGCTGCCTTTGTAATGCGCTTTTCTAGCCTCTTTGCAACTGGGCACGACTTGTTATTTTTTCCCATGACAGAGAAAAATAAAGTATTAAAATTTGCAGTACAGTTATGGGAGCCTGTATGCCATGTATCAGTCTGAGAGGTTAAAATGTTGATGCTTTTTTATATTTTTAAACAAAATGTCTGAAATGATTCTAATGACACCTCTACAAACTACATGAATGGTTAAATTTCTCTAAATTTTTTGTACCCCAGCTGGTGTCTGGGCAGAGTGAACTGTACCTTTAGCTCCTTTATACTAGTAGGTTTCACGACATGATATACTTATGATGATGATATACCATGGGCGTTTGACAAGGTTCCATATATAAAAGTAATCCTTCATATTAAGGATTTATAAATTAAAAGCAATGCCTGTAAATAGAACGTTAACTGGTGTACGGGTAGAAAACAGAACAGTGACAAGGAATGATAACTAGTTTTGCAATCAATGGAGCATCACACCACTGCTTATTATTAATATTAGCAACGCTATTATTTAATATACTATAATGTGGAAGTTATTCTAGTCAAAATGTAGTCAGTGGAAGCAGCTTCCGACAGGTATTTAGGCGTTTTATATTAACTCATAATTGTCATCTCTAAGAGATGCAAATTCATTTTGATTAATATAAAAAGGCATTAAAAGTCTATAGCGTGTTCTACACTGTATACACAGGTTCTACAGTGAAAAGGGAACCACGGTCAGTGAGTGACGTACAGTACAGTAATCACAGAACAGTAATCACAGGTGAGACTGACTGTCAAACACTAACAGTATAATTCTTACCGCTTGACCCAAAGCTAAAATACAGGAATTATGAAACACTGTTTATGGCGCAAGATTGACGCTAATTTCTAACCTTTTACAATTAATGATCTGTACCCCTAGGGATGAATAACATATTTTGAGTTGAACTGAAAACAAATCGTAAATGTTCAACTGAAGTTTCATAAGGTTATTTAATCACCGGCTCAGTTAAAAGTATGGAATGGGATTGTACTCATATTACTTGTGTCTCCAATTAAATGTGTCAATGACACATTTCTAAGTAATTAAAAGTCCGATGCCAGGTGTGATTAATCTTGTATGAGCCATCAATTGGTCTCCTTTAAAAATTGCTCTGGCAGCTGTGTTGCGTCTTAGCAGAATTACGGACAAATGTCTTTATAGTAGGATAGGAACAGATCAAAACGGATCTAGAGAAGGCTTCTTTGAGAAGCAACTTTGTCGCGGCCAGTAACTTGATTTTTAGAGAAGCCTTTTTTTAGTTTTTAAAGAGACGTCGAATTAAAACTAAACCAACCCCTTTCGCCCCCTTTTAAAAGGGGCTAAATGGAACGGAACGTTGTTATAACGATAAACGGCTACCTGTATTTTTAATCCTTAATCCTATTAGTGGTGTTTCAGCAGGTGTCTTATTCCCTAGTTCCTCCTCTCCAGCTCCCCGGCCTTCCTGTCCTCTACAACAGCCTGGACGCCGAAGCGCAGAGCTCCCGTGTGGCGTGAAACTGGACAGATGAGCGGTCAGTTCGAAGGTGAGAATCCAACCGGTCTGCACTCTGCTTGCAGAGCCTCTTGCTTTCGGGTTTAAAGAAAGAGCTTTGTTTGTACTATTCTCAATATGGAAAAGCAGTATTATAATGAGCACGCGCCCACAGCTGCGTTCACTTAATCCGAGTTTGGGGAAAATTACCACGGGGAAATGGAGCGAAGCAGTGTTTTACCTCCTGCTGACCGCTCAACACCTCCCTGCGAGTAAACGTCTTATTTTTGCTTTCCAAAAGTGGTGCTACCTTTGTATAGACTAAGGTAAGAGGCCAGAACTTGCAACTACAGTATATGTATTAGAAACGCTTTTTCTCCCCTGTTCAAGAAGCAGTTGTTCCCGGAGAGCAGCCGGTCTCACCTCGCCGTCCCAGGTGCCCACCGTCTCTCCGGCCGGCTGTCCTGACTGGAGCGTTTCCTCTCCCGGGGCTCCAGACTGTGGGCCGCCGGAGCGTTACGACTATACTGTTTTGTTCCAATTTTGCAATAAATTGGTGTCCTTGGATTTTCTTAAATCAATTTGTGAATTTCGGTGTTGGGTTCGGGTATTTTAGTGGTGTCGCTTCATGTAGAAAGAACGAGTCAACGTTTCCTTTGCCAGTCCAGGCTGCTCAGAGTGCCTGTCAGTCATTAATTTAGGGTGCTTCATCTTTGTCCACTGTAGTTGTTGCACAAGGTTTTTTCCTCCACCTTGCCTGTAAAACTCCACCTGTTGCTTGAATATACTCAAAGCTATGCAGCCTGTGGACAAGCAATTGCTTGATAACACAATGAACTTCCACTATTACCTTTGGTAAAATCTCCCATTTAAGCAGCAGAATCCAACTCAAAAGGTCTTCACAACAATATTCATTTAACACTACTTCAGGGGCAAATAGAGATCAATTGTAAATCAACCTTCATGTCTATCCAGTTTTCCAAGAAATCTGGATAGTACCTACAGCATGGACAAGAAACTGGAGGTTTACTCGGGAGGGAACAAATTTCATAAGGAAAACCATTCTTTGTTTGCTTACAAAACTAGTTTACATTTCCTTTTTCATTAAATAAAACAAACTGATTCTTTGACATGCAAGAGACAGATACAAAGTTACTCCAGGTGCAGAGCTATGTTACTGAGAATTAAACATCAAAATTGTTTTTCTAACAAATCTTTTCATATAAACATTTAAGAAATTAGGAACATAAATATTTATTCCGCTGAAAGAGAAACCCTGCATCATAACTTCCTCTTAATGACATAAGAACCTGCTGTTCAGAATGACCTCTCATGCTGGTGAGGCTGTAGACTGTGTTGAGTGTCCAGGTGGTCCTCATGATCCCCCCCCCCAGCTCAAGGACTCAGGGGAAAGGCCTGTGATCATCAGCACTGTTGAGAGTTGAGAAATACAATCATCCCATCAATCAATCAATGCAGGGCACTAATATATACTGTATATACAGACACCCACATTTAACTGCAGATACAAATATAATCCCCACAGTTCAAAACAACTCATGACAGGTTTTCTGTAGAATTGGAGGAACAGTTGCTCAAGACCAGAGAAGAATACAATCACTACAAAGTCTATTGTTTAATCATTATATATGATAAAGTATGTAGTTGTATGTAAATTATCTCAAATAACTGGGATAAAAAATTGCCAGACAAGCCTAACCCAATTAAAGCTGTCTAAAATAGCATAAGTATCAGTGATGGGTTTCTGCTAGGATAAAGTGACCCTAAAATCATACCATTTATAGTCATAAGTTTTTTTCTCATCTATAGCTGCATCAGGTAGGGCTGGACTTGACATGCTTAGTACAGTAGTAAGCCCAGGAGCATGTTAGCAATACTGTTAGCAATACTGAGTCCCAGATAAAACTCCAAGAGGATGAGTTGAAATGACCTGTCTGAGCCCTGTTGGACCCAGGATATTTAAAGTCTCTGTACTGGGGCTTTGGTATGGAAATTATGGGCCACAGGGAACAGTGCCACCTAAGACCTTTAGCTCTGTAATATCCTCCAGCAGCTGCGCTGATGAAGTACTGCTCACCCAACAGGAGCCCAGGACACTTCACCCACAGGAGAGCCCTTCCTCCAGCCTCAGGGGTGACCTGTCGCAGCTGCTCGCTCTCCACAGACCAGCTGGAGGAGTGAGAACAGGTAGAGAGCGAATTCAACAGGAGACTCCGGGAGGCCAGGCTGTTGCTGAGAAAGTAGGAAAGTGAAAGTAATGTCAGGCAGTCTATTCAAAACCGAAAAGCTAAATCTCAGTTTGAAACACGTTGCTCTAAGGTAATCAGTATTCCATGTAAACTAAATGAAAGTGTGATGCCATGGGGGTTACAGTCATGTGTCGTGTTGATTTTTAGATAGACCAGAACAAACCTAAGGCAAATTACAGTAAAAAAAATGTACCCTGATAAAATAAAATACAAAAACAAACAAAAAAAGGACTTGTGGCCCAAACACATAGGAAAACAAAGAATTTATCCATATAAAAAAAGTCTTCTCAAAGTTTGAAAACTAAACCTTTCCATTTTATCCCTCAAAAATAGGTCCTATCATGTCTTCTTACCAGTATAAAATGAACTGGTTCTTAGGGTACCACTGTGCTGGAGCTGATGGTGGGAGACTTCCCCAAGCTCACTCGCGAATACTGTCACAAACCAGGAAGAAAATTGTATATCCACTGAGTAATTGTGTGATGTTCTCCTATATCCAAAATCTACCCTACCAACTTATTTGCCTGAATACTGTTAAATGCAGATGAAACGTCAGCAAGAAGTACACACACATAGGATGATAGAGTATCTACTGTAAATGCTTGTACTCTTGATTTAACAAAGCAACAAACTCTTCTTCCACTCCTCGTTTCGCTCTGTAACACAAACTGACAGGGGTCCCTGCGTGCACTGGTTGCGGAATAAAGATGGAACAAAACTATTTGATCAAAACATGTAATTGTGACTGAAGCTAATGCTACTGGAAGGAAATCTTTTAATTCAACAGCTTTTGGTTTTTTTAGATATAATTGGTAGATACAATCTTTTATAATTGTTTAGATATAATTGCAGATGTCTTCTACAAACTCAGAACTTTAAATATGTCCACTGATGTTTGGAAAAGTTTACATAAAACAGGACTAAGTTGTTCATGACATTTCTGCCTTCCTGATTTTTGAGGCCCAAACATTTTAGAGTATTTATTTGCAAAACCACATGCCCCACTTTGTACATTTCAGTTCATTTACATAGTGGGGTGTGTGCTCAAGCCAGCACCCATTACTAAGGGGTACCTGGCCAATCATGGTTTAGATCCTAC